GGACATTCTCTTCTGGATTCTTTTTGGCAAGTAGGCGCGGCAGAAAAAAAAGGGAGAGACTTCGTTCGACCCGATGTGCGATCACGTGACTCTGGGTTCAAAGGTCTTATCTCTCCTGGCATGGCGCCAATAAGTAGAGAAGGGGGATTAGCTATTTGTCATTGATCGCTTCTCAACTTTTTTTTTCTCCGCTGTGTAAAATTTTCATTTATTGATGCACGTGTAAATTTTTTGTTTCGTTTATTGAAATATTTTTTTATTTATGTGCGCAAGGGAATTTCACTATGAAATTTCTCGATATAAATAGTGATATTATACAATTAGAAGAAGGTGTCCGGAATGCATTTAGGTGGAATTGGATTGAACGGAGAGATGGTAATGGGGATACCATCGGCACATGGTGCAAGAAAATAAATGTTGCTGGACAAGCATATTGTGTTTTTTGTAACTCACTGCTGAAGTATGGTGGGGAAGGATTCAAGGCTTTCACAAATCATTCTAAAACTGTGACGCACATAAAATATTCAAAGTGCATTAGACATTCAATGACTTTAAGTAATTATGCTAATTCAAAAAATACTGATGATTTACTGGAGACTGATGCTCGGCCATTGGATATAGTGACAAGAAAAGCACGCCAAGAGGTATTAATAACTTCGTTTATCGCCGAGAATTCTCTTTCTTTCAATGTAGCTCCCAATTTAATTGAACTCTGCAAACAGTTGAGCCGTGATCAGACGGCACTAAACTTGTTGGAAATGTCTAGGACTACTGCATGTTATAAGATGAAATATGGGCTCGCAAAAACTATTAAGGAAAATATCATTAAAACTTTAAAGGAGACTCTATTTTCTCTAAATTTGGATGAAAGTACTAGCAATGTTCAAGAAAGTATACTGGCAATATTGGTGCAGTTTTATGACAACAATCAAAATGAAGTTGTAGTTCATCATTTTGCATCTCTAAAGATGGAATCTTGCAATTCAGAAGCTGTTTTTAAAGCAGTTGTTAATACTATTGAAGATAATAATATTCCATGGGCAAACTTAATTAGTGTATTAATGGACTCATGTAACACCATGCGTGGAAAAAAAAAAAAAAAAGGGTGTTGAAACCAGACTACGATCAAACAAAGCACCCCACTTTTTAGATATTGATGGTGACACATGTCACACAGCTAATAACTGTGCAAAAAAATTTGCTTCATGTTTTGATAGACACTTAGAAGATTTGTTTGATGACATCTATTTTGATATGAAAAGCTGCAGTAAAAGAGAAAATTTTTTCAAAATCTGTGAATCCCTTGCCATTAAAAAACTTAAGCCCTTGAAGAGACCAGACCATAGGTGGCTGTACATTTTATGTGTTTTAGAAAGAATCGAAGATCTGTGGAATGCTCTTATTGCATTTTATTTTCACTACTTGGATAAAACTGATAAAGGGGATTATTTTTCTTATGTTGAAATTGTATACAATAAAAGAAATATTTCTCCAGCTCAGAAAAAAATTGTTGAAGGGGTGTATTCTTGCTTGCATTCCCAACAACTCACAAAGGATGCTTTAGCTCGAAGAAAAAAAGAATACTAAATGGGTTATTTGTTATGCAAAACAAAACTTTATTGCATATGGCATTATATTCAGCAGCATTACCAGAGTTCAACACATATATTAAATTATTTGAAACAAAAAAACCAATGCTTCATTTAATACATTCCAGTATTTATAAATTGATGGCAAAATTTTTTTCTATTTTTATGAAGCCAGAAAATATAGAGTGCACATCTTATAATGATTTATTAAAGGTTGATGTCACAAATCCAGAATTCCATCTACCTAGCAAAGTAATATTTACTGGTGCAGAAGCTTCCACTCTCCTGAAGAAATTATCAAAAAATCATCCAATAGCAAAAGAATTCCAAATTTCTCTGATGAAAGCTTATACTAATACAGCACAGCATATGAAACAGAAATTACCCCTTAAAAATTCATATCTAATTAGTTTTACAGCATTAGATCCAGAGCTAAGAGGTAAAACCAGTATAATATTAGCTTTTGAAAAATTATCATCTTTTATGTCCCATATTTTTAGTGATAATGAAAAGTCAAAAGTAGAAGCTGAAATAAGGTTATACCAGAGTGATATTGATATCACCAAAGAAATGCTCTACACATCTGATGAAAGTGGAAATCAAGTCAAGTGTACAATTGATAAATATTGGTCTAAAGTTTTTAATATAAAAGATGATTTCACAAATGATTATAAGTATCCTACATTGGCTAAATTGGTCAAAGCCTGCCTTAGCTGCTTCCATGGCCCATTAGTGGAAAGTGCATTCAACTTAATGGATACACTTGTCACTGACTATAGAACCTCTCTTAAGATTGATTCCCTAGATGCAGTGCAGACTATTAAATATGATTTAATGGCTTCTAAAGAAACATCATGTGAAAAATATGGCTCAAAAAATCCAATGACTGATCCAATTCACAAAGATCTCTTACTGAATATGAACAGAAGTTGGAAAACATATCAAGAGGACTTAAAAACATGTATTTCAGATGAGCCACCTATAAAAGTCTCTGAAAAAACTTCTACATTAGCAGAAAAGCAAACTGCTTCTACCTCTGTATGTGCAGTTCTCGAGGAAATTTCTTGAACTGTAAATGAGGAAAATAAAAGTCAACCTTCCTGCAATTATGAAGTTCACCATAAAAGAAAGACAAGCCCACAAACATCAGAAAATAAAAAAAAGCAGCAGAAATTAGGTAATTTTTTTTTAAAGAATTAATTCAGGTAATTTAAAATATTTACATAAAATGTAGTAGTTTATATGTTTGAAAATTTATGGTTATTAATTTTGCAAAAAAAGTAATTCATTGAACTTTTATAATTATCATTCAATACTTCATAATTGTAATTTTTCATTTCTCTTCCCCCCCTTCTCAAAACTCCAAAATGTCTGTAGTAAGTCCGTAAAAGTTTCAGGGGATTTTTTGTGGTCCCACAAACACACCAGGTATATTCAACTAATGGGTTTGCTGAAATAGACCATATTACAGAAAGATCCTGAAATATTTATTCTTAATCATCTGTTTTCTTTTGCCATCAGTTCTTGTCATTACTACTGACATAGATCATGTTCAAGTAAAGGTCCCTGTGATCTTTCGAGCATCACATTTCAGACTTATGAGTTTAAACAAGTAGCAATTGATGACATAGAGCTACAACTTATGTACAACTGTATCCTGAGTGACTAGTCTTAAAAAAATTATCCTTATGCTCCTGTAAAATCCTTTTGGAACTCTCAGCCTGAGTTATATATACTTAGACTAAATTTATTTGTCATGGACAGTGATTAGTGATCCTAAATCTTGTTGCAAAGACAGCTACATCTAAGCCATAGAAGTATACTTGTAAAATGTCTTGCTCAGCAGTCTCTCTCTGCTGGCTATTACTAACATAAGATTTTGAAAACATGTTAACAAATTGCATCCTGTGCTTACACAACTAAGGTAGAGTACCAAAGTACCACCTGTAAATAAAAAATAATCTGATAGACCTTGAGAAAAGGTTGTTATAGTATTCTTTCATATGTAATATGTGATTTGATTATTAGCTGCTGCTTCTCCCAAAAATACTGAATTGCAACATTTGCATCTCCTGTAATCAATATTCTAAAAACTTGTGTTGCAAGCTTTGATATTCCAAAGGAATTTGTTGCTGACAACAGTCCACCATTTGATTCTGTTGAGTTTTCACCTTTGCAAAAGTTGGATTTTGTTTACAATACTTCAAGTCAGTAACTATACTCACTGTTATAACCAGTTCAAATGGTGTGTTCAGTTTGCAGTCTTAAGTTGCATGCTATAAGAGTGATGTTCAGCTCATTTTGATGGACTACAGGAATGAGTCAGTGGATAGCATGCCTTCATGTATTGAACTGTGATTGCTAGATACATTCACACTTTATTTCCTAATCTACATGCTTGATGTGATTGCAGTGCTATCCAGGAGCATGTAGAATATAAACAGTGGGGCAGCATAAGTATGACTGTCATTCTTATCCATTTCAGCCACTCTATCTTGATGAAAAAATTCTATTCTGGAATTGGCTGAAGTGGCAGAAAGGACACGATTGCTGTAGGACAACAGCTATGGTCTTGCATCATTACAGTGCCGCCCTAATGGTTAATGGCTTTGACTACCGCATTGAAGGGCCCGTGTTCAAATCCCAGAGAAGTCATGAATGAATGTAAATTGTCTTTCCCTTTCATAGGAGCTACACTGCCTATTAGGTGCCTTCATAATAAAATAACCACTGTATCTGGCCTTAATAGTGGCCAGAGCATAAAATGGCTAGTGCCTGCCATTAAAAAATACATAATTACAACAGAGAGTGGCAGATTATAGCATAAAAAAATAATCTACATTTAACCCTTTAAATCTTCACAAGCTGTGAGTACAAGAATGAGAGCAGAAGCCTTGTTTCTGACTCATAGCTTATCAACAAATAGTGCCCTTGTCACTACTCATAATTCCAGTCCATCTGAAACTAATACTTGTTATCATACAAATATTAATTCCATCTGTAATTAGTGCCACTAATGTGATGCACACTGGCAAGACATCCACTGCATTTTAAAGACTGATATCGATAGGTTCTTTATTTTATTATTTTAGTTGAATAATTAGTGTGTTTTAAATTTTAACAATGTATCTTCGTTTTACTTTTTTTAAAGTTCCCAGAATAGGAAGGTGTTATATATGCAATTTAAATTTTATCATCACTTTCTCTAACTGTTGCTGTTATGGGTCCACATGTTTTTGAGTCATTAATATCTTAACGAATAAAATAGTCTTTTATCCCTAAGCATCTAATCTTTTACATCTTTCATATCTGTTAGTTTAACAACATTTTTAATGCAAAGCAGTAATTGCCATATTTCTATTCTTGTATGAATATGTTTTCTGAATTTCAAAAGCAAATGTATGCTTTCAGAACTTCCCAGTGCTGTCCAAGAGGAATATGATGGTTAGTATAAATTTTTGTTTAGAAATGCCTTATTCCCATGCTTATTTGGCTAGTTTTCTGTTTATAGAATAATTATATGCTATTAATATTTTTAAAATACTGATTTGCCCAGTGTGTTAGAAATACAGGGTGTCCGAATCAAATGTACCTATTTTGAATAGTCGATTAAAAACAAAGTTTTAGTGCTACGAGAGCGATATTGGCCACATGTGGGAGCTGAATTCATAGAGTTTGGTGACAATATTTTTTTCTAGTGTCTGACATAGCTGCACTTTTGCTGAGCCGATAAACAGAAAAATGCTATGAAGTTTTAGCAAGACTGACTTCTCTTGCTAAAACTTCATAGCAAGAGAAGTAAAAAATTGTTCTCTAGTATGTGGAACACAAATCTGGAGAACAAAAACCTGTGAAGATCTTCAGGCCTCCATAACCGCGGCTGTTGCTACTTCGACTCCGGAAATGCTGCACCAGACATGGCTGGAACTGGACTACTGGCTAGACATCCTTAGAGCTACTAAGGGAGCTCACGTGGAATTGTACTGATCATTTAATAGAACTTTTGTGAATATTGGTATCTAATTATACAGTTTTCTTATGCTTTATAACTCTCTGTTAAGTAGAACGACCTCTCCAAATTAGGTACATTTGATTCGGACACCCTGTATATCAGGAAATAGAAGTATAGTACTGCATATTATAGTTTATGGTAATGTATCATTTCATTGCTAATAAAAGATTGTTATTCGGAAGTAATTTCAAATCAAAGTAATCTGTTCAACTTAAAAGAATTAAAAAGTTCAGTTAGTGATTTATAATTCCCATTAAATGCATTTAGTGTTATGTTTATTGTGATTGTATGTAATATGCATGTAATTTTAATTAATTTTTTTTTTTTTTTACATTTCATTTGGGAAATGTTTACAAAAAATTCTCTAAGGCAGTTAGTCATATTACCTTGTCATAATGCTGGCAGTATCTCATAGGATGTTATCCTGTGAAAATGTAATGTAAAGTTTACTGTTAAACACCATATGGAGACTGAAAAATGAGTTATCACTACATCTGTGGGAGTATTGCCAAGTCCAACAAACATTTTTTCTTTGTAACTTGAATGAACTTAATAAGACACAACTTGTGGATACAAATCAAACTTCGCCACTTGTGGAGAAAAATGGCTTCTAGTACTGTAGTTAAATCATATGGAACGGTTGCCAACTCATTGTAATTTTATGGCAGTTATTGATTTATTACTGTCTGTCTATGAGAAGAACAGCTACCGCCACAGTCTTGATGGGTGGCAGTCGCTATAGCAACAGGGCTAGTATATTTCAAATAGGGGTGAAACCAAGGACTGCCAGTTCATCTTTGAATGTGCCAAGGCGGCAAACTGAAAAGTAAATCTTCAAGACACCCCTACGGGAAATGGGTCAAGGTTCATTTCTGTGGCAACAGACAGCTGCAGATTAACTGGTGAGAGTTTTTCTTACAATAGACAGACTGTGACAGGATTAATTTTACAAACAAATACATGTTACACTAGTCTTGTTTACTGTGATAACCAAATGGAGCAGAAATTACACTGATGTTTACAGTTGCAAGTGAAACAATAACAGACAACTATTTACAAATGTCACAGCAAAGCTTTTGTTCAAGAAAAATGTGTTTACCACAAGACTTCCAACTATAGCACATTGTATTTCATTGCAATCCAATTTCATAAATATTTTCATTTTTCATATTTCTTGATTTAATATACAAGGTGTTTCAAGAAGAATGACCCGAATCTAAAAAATCATAATTATTCAGATTTTAACCAGTTTTGATTAAATAATGTGTTGGTAGAAAAGGAAAAATCTCAAGTTTCATGCAGTTGTCAACAGGTAGCGCTAATGGTCTTTTTCGCCAGTCACTTCGAGGTTTGTAAGGATGGCGACTGCATAACAGAAATCGTTTTGTCTTCTATGCTTCGTGAAGTGCAAGTGCATGAGAAGATGGTATAAACAGTTCGAATATACAGGTTGCTTGTGTAAAGGAAAATCACCTGGTTGTCCCCGCATATCAGATAAAAATATGGAGCATGTCCGGTAGAGTTCTACACCTAAACAAAATCCACTAGCCAGTTAGGAAGTTAATATTCCTTCAACATCTGTCTGGCATGTTTTGCATTGATATCCGTGTTTTGAACGATACAAGATTCATTTACTGCAAGATCTTCAGGTAAGTGACAAAGGAAAATGTGTGAGTTTTGTGAATTAATTCTTGAGAATTTGTTAGAAGATGACAGTTTTGTAATATGCTTGGTGTTTAATGATGTGGTAACCTTTCATATCAGTGGCATCGTGAGCCACCACAATGTTAGAATATGGAGTATGGAGTTGCCGCATGAAATTGTACAGCATAAAAGAGACTCGCCCAAAGTTGTTTTTGTGCAGTTTCGAGGAAAGTTATATGACCAAACAGAAGATATGCACAACTAGAAACAGGGTTGCCACGCTACCTGGAAAACCGGGAGAACCGAGAAAAGTCAGGGAATTCGAAAATTGACCAAAAAATTCAGGGAAAAGTCAGGGAATTTAAGTATTTTTGTCAAAATCTGGAAAAGTCAGGGAAGTTCATACAATGATCCCGCCAAAAAAAGCGATTTTTGCGCCGACGTCGGAAGAGATAACTTTTTTGGCGAATTGCCTATCACGTGAGTGTCTGCTGGCATAGAGCCAATTTTCGCAGCTCCAATTTGATTGCCTTTTAGAAAGGCAAAGCAAGTTTTCCCGCAACTTTTGGTTTCCAGTATTCTCGAGAATCGCATGTGCAGTGCATGAACTAAAGAAAGTACCTGTTCTCGTATAAAACAAAATGGGTTTAATCTTAGTATACGGTACCATGGAGGTTAGAATCAAAGAATATGTATTGTAAAGAAGGAAAACCTCTCTGCAACAGACGTGGCTCCGTTCCATCATAGAGGGAAACAGCTGTGCATACGTGATATATCTGCCGCCAAAGCTGGAAACCGGTGTCGAAGTTCGAAGGTCACGTTATCAAGAGTTCATTAAATGAATATCCTTTAAAATTTCTTTAACCACTTGTGCTAAAAAGACGTGCGTCGAGATGTTTTTGTCTCAAACTGCGAGCGACGTGAACACCACGTCGATAAGCATTTATTGCAAAAATGAAAATAATGTGGTGCACACGTCGCCTAACAACGAGATTGTTTATTTCTCGAGTTACAGCTCTGGATTGCACTCGCAGATGCGGAGCGAGACACTTTACCACTTGCTATATTGTAGCGCACGACACAAGAAAATATTTTTTGGCGTAGTACATGATAATAAGTAAATTAATTCATAGATTAGTAATTTTCAGGGGGGGGGGAGAACTATGAAAATCCGTTTTTAAAATTATTGCGAAAAATCCAAGAAGAAACGTCCTATGATAAAACGTTTCTTCTTGGATTTTTCGCAATAATTTAAAAACGGATTTTCGTAGCTTTCTTTTTGTCAAAGAACATTTCTTCTTAACACGTTTCTCAATTTCCGGTACACATCGCGGAGAGGGAAATTCTGGCCGCCAGATTCCGTCGCCAAATCCCTTGGCAAATTTTCCCTCCGCATTCTAGCAGCGTTTACTTGTATGGAAAATTTTCTTCTTTACATAGACCAAAGAATTAGAGATTCTTTGCATAGACGTTTTTTGGTTAAAATAATCTCCATGTATGGATTTGGCGACATGATGATGCGCAGTAAACGGGTCATTTTGGTCTTGGCGACAATTTTCAAAATCGTGCCAAAGCCTTACCGTATACTAGAATTTTACCACAAAATCTTTTTAAACTTTTCTTTTTAATAAATACCTTGCCATTTTGCAGTAAAATAAAAAATAGTAATGTGTCATCTAGGCTAACCATGTAATATAGCTATATTCGCTAAAATATCGTTGATTATTCTAATTCAATTTTTAAGTAATTATCTTTAGTTTTGTTATTCGCATAATTTAATGATGCTTCTTCCCTCTAAATTTATTAATTATTAGTAAATAATATTTTTAAATTTCAGGAAATTTTCTCTGGCATAATCTTGAAATTAATTCTAGCAGTATGATGACATACCATCACGAAATTTAATGCACATATTTTTTTCTTATGTATGCTGCGAACTAAATATAAAATACCTCAATTTATTAAAATAGATTTCTTTGTTTCGTTTAGCTGCAGAATGTTTGCAAAAAAAGCCTTATTTTATTCCAGATTGGGAAGATTCTAATCTCAATCTTCAATGGAGAAAACAACAACTATTATAATTATATTTTGTGTTTTCAAGTGTTAAGGTGCTTTTTAAGAACATACCTCACACAAATTAAATTTACCTAAAATCTAACCTAACTATTTAGCATTGCGTTGTGATTTATAAGGACCGGATTAGCCTCGTGTTGAACTGGGGATGATCATGAGTAATAATAATAAATAAAACATACATTTGTTATCCAATGTATATATCTTAAATTCTATTAAGTTTCTTAAGTGAAAAGTAAACAAAATTATCAAACAAAGTATACCAAGAATAAGTAAGAATAAATGTCCCTCTGGGATTTAGTGAATAATTAAGTGAATTTGCTACACAACACAAGTAATGCCATAATTAATTTACCTCTTAGCGTAGCCAACGTACATTACGCGGATAGACTGGAATTTTCTTGAAACGCACCTGGAAAAGTCAGGGAATTTCATTCTCCTGTTTGAGTGGCAACCCTGTAGAAATATTCTACACTTATAATTTTGGTGAGCAACTCTTCTCTGTCAATACAGTAGTTCTCTCAAATTCTGATAGACATTTGCTTCAATGTCCCATGACACATTTTATTTCATGGGACAAAATAGCACCAACACTCTCATAGATGGCATCCTTACTGAGAATAAATGGTTGACCAAGTTTAGAATACAACAGGATTGTGGCTTATGTTAAAGCCTTCATCATATTGTTAAATGCATCTTCACCTTCTTTCATAAG